GCCGCTTGGGGGCCCCTGCCTCCATCCATTTGCCTAGGGGGCCCCCCGGGGGCCCCCCATTACCATTGAGGGTTTGGGGGGCCCCTGCAGCAGCAGCAGCAGCAGCAGCTGCTGCTGCTGCTGCTGATGCTGCAGCAGGTGGTGATACAGCAGCAGCAACAGCTGGTGCAGGAGAAGCAGCAACGGGGCGGGGAGAAGGAGCAGCAGCTGCTGCTGCAGCTGCTGCTGCTGCTGCTGCTGCAGCAGCAGCAGCAGCAGGAGATGTAGATGCAGCAGCAGCAGCAGCAGCAGCTGGTTGGGGGCCCCTAGTCATCCACGCAGGCAGCACCATATGCCGCCCGCGGCCGGCGGGAGGGGCGTGCATCGTCAAACCCTAAACCCTAAACCCTAAACCCTAAACCCTCAACCCTAAACCCTAAACCCTAAACCCTAAACCCTGGGTAGGTAAGAAGCAAGCCCCTCCCCTCGATGCAGAACGGCCCAAACAACCGCCAGCACGCCGTCCTAGAACACACAAACCACAAACCCTAAACCCTAAACCCTAAACCCTAAACCCTAAACCCTCGGGGCCCCATCCATCCACCTGCTGTATGACGACGCACTGAGGAGAGCATCGCTAAAGGGGAACTCAGTAAAACCCTAAACCCTAAACCCTAAACCCTAAACCCTAAACCCTAGATGAGAGGGTACATACTGGGGCTTGAAGACCATACAAAAGGGTTTAGGGTTTAGGGTTTAGGGTTTAGGGTTTAGGGTTTAGAGGACCTACCCTGATCTAGCTTGTAGACAAGGCGACACCCCTCAACACCGACTCTCCTTTTTATTTACATTCAGTATAAACCCCAGCAGCAGCAGCAGCAGCAGCAGCAGCAGCAGCAGCAGCAGCAGCAGCAGCAACAGCAGCAGCAGCAGCAGCAGCAGCAGCAGCAGCGGACTCGATGGGGCCCGCTGCTGCTGCTAGGGCTGGCAGCAGAGCTCCACCAACTCAACAACCCCCCAGTACTAAACCCTAAACCCTAAACCCTAAACCCTAAACCCTAGAAACGAAGCAGCAACACAAAACCCTAAACCCTTTTTTTAATACATTAAGAACTCATTACGCTGTCTCATGCAGAACAAGACGGCTGCTGCTGCTGCTGCTGCTGCTGCTGCTGCTGCGCTCCAACAGCAGCAGCAGCAGCAGCAGCAGCAGCAGCAGCAGCAGCAGCAGCAGCATGCATCGGGGAGGGCTGCGGCTTGGTGAGGTGCGGCCTTTCAGGTGTATAGGCAGCTAAATGCAGCAACATAAAACCACAAAAAATAAATAAACATTTTAATTAATATAATAGGGAAAGCTGTTATTTACAGCACCTGTTGGGCTTCTTTGTTTCTCCTTTTTGCTGCTGCTGCTGCAGCTGCTGCTGCTGCTGCTGCTGCTGCTACTCTTTTTCCTGCTGCTGCTTATACTCTCGTTGTTGCTGCTGCTGCTGCTGCTGCTGCTGCTGCCATAAACACTTTCTCTTTATATTTATTATCGAGAATAGCTGCTGCTTGCTGCTGCGTTTTCAATCTGCTGCTCTTGGGTGCTGTCTGTACACCTGGGGGCCGCAGCAGCAGCAGCAGCAGCAGCAGCAGCAGCAGCAGCAACAGCAGCAGCAGCAGCAAAGCAACAGCAGCACCATCAACAGCGTATATATCTGCTGCATCATAAACCCTTTTCTTCTCTCACCACCTCTCCCCTCTCTCCTCTCTCTCTCTCCCCCCCAAACCCTAAACCCTAAACCCTCAACCCCAAACCCTAAACCCTAAACCCTAAACCCTAAACCCTAGAAACCGCAATGACAGACCCAGCATATGCACCCCCAGTGGGCCCCTACGCCTCCTTCGGGGGCTATCACTACCCCCCCCACCAAGCAGCAGCAGCAGCAGCAGCAGCACAAGCAGCAGCAGCAGCAGACTACCAATGGGGTGCCTGGGGGGCCCCCCCAGCAGCACGCAGCAGCCCGGGCGCTGTAGACCCAGGTAAACACCAAAACCACCAAATTAGGGTTTAGGGTTTGGGGTTTAGGGTTTATGGATGATACTGGCGCTCGCTGTGCTGCCGCCAGCAGCTGCATGTACAAACCCTAAACCCTAAACCCTAAACCCTAAACCCTAAACCCTTTTTTCTTTCCCTTCATATCAAGACCCTAAAACCTTAAACCCTAAACCCTAACTAACTCTAAACCGTAGACCCTAAACCCTAAACCCTAGTACACTATATATAATCATAAACACGAACCCTAAACCCTAAACCCTAATACACTATATATAATCACAAACACAAACCGTAAACCCTAAACCCTAATGTTTGTGTTTGTATATATACATTCTCTATAGTGATAAACGCAAGCCGTAAACCCTAAACCCTAAACCCTAATGTTTGTGTTTACGTTAAATATATATAATATACAGAGATATAAACTCTACTATATACACAACCCTAAACCCTAAACCCTAAACCCTAGTGTTTGTGCGTATCTAAAAGCATCCAGAGATATCCCCTCTCTCTTTCTCTCTGTCTCTCAAACCCTAAACCCTAAACCCTAAACCCTAAACCCTTGTATTTGTGCGTATATAAAAACATCTAGAGATAACCCCCAAACCCTAAACCCTAAACCCTAAACCCTAAACCCTTGCGTTTGTGCGTCTATAAAAACATATCAAGACATCCCCTCTCTCTCTCTCTCTCCCCCCAACCCCCAAACCCTAAACCCTAAACCCTAAACCCTAAACCCTTGTGTGTGTGTGTATACAGAGACAGAGCCAGACGCTCTACAGAGCCGTTGTTTATTTTTTGGGCGGCTATCGTCGGGGGCAACAGAAGAAGTTTTAAGGAGTGTTTGTGAACAGTTCGGAGATATTAGAAAAATTACTACTTACCCTGAAAAACATATGGCTTTTGTTGAATTTGTGAGGGTTTAGGGTTTAGGGTTTAGGGTTTAGGGTTTAGGGTTAGGGTTTAGGGTTTAGGGGATAGGTTTTAGGGTTTAGGAGGAGGGTTTAGGGTGTTTGTGAACAGTTTGGAGATATTAGAAAGATTACTACTTACCCTGAAAAACATATGGCTTTTGTTGAATTTGTGAGGGTTTAGGGTTTAGGGTTTAGGGTTTAGGGTTTAGGGTTTAGGGTTAGGGTTTAGGGTTTAGGGGATAGGTTTTAGGGTTTAGGAGGAGGGTTTAGGGTGTTTGTGAACAGTTTGGAGATATTAGAAAGATTACTACTTACCCTGAAAAACATATGGCTTTTGTTGAATTTGTGAGGGTTTAGGGTTTAGGGTTTAGGGTTTAGGGTTTAGGGTTAGGGTTTAGGGTTTAGGTGATAGGTTTTAGGGTTTAGGGTTTAGGGTTTAAGGTAGGGTAGAGGGGTTATACAAAATACTGTGAGGAAGCAAGTAGCCGTTGAGGGTTTAGGGTTTAGGGTTTAGGGTTTAGATGTGTTTATTGTTTGTTGTATGTATTTATGTGTATAAATTCTGTGTGTTATCTCCTATCCACCCCAAACCCTAAACCCTAAACCCTAAACCCTTTTTTGTGGTTTGTGGTTTCAGTATGACATTCGTCACGCCGAGGCAGCGAGAGAATCTCTGCGAGCGACAGAGATAGCCGGAAAAAAAGCAGAGGTTCAATACAGCTCCATGAAGCGCCCAGATAAAGATAGCAACATGGTAAACCCTAAACCCTAAACCCTAAACCCTAAACCCTAAACCCTTTTT